TAAAACCTAGCTGGTGAGGTAATGTATTAGAAGGAATTAGGATTTTTCATTTTATGTGTTACAAGTGTTTTGATATTTCTTCCTTGCGTAATCCCCTGTTTTATTTTGCCAGCATAGTCCAGAAGATGCAAGTAGACAAGAAATATTGATCAAACCAAATGATGTACAAAGAATAAGAGTGGGGATTGTGAAAAATATGTATTTTATTATTGGCTTTTCACAAATATTAAAATGAATATTATATGTGTTGTGTTAGAAAGTAATGCTGTTTTAATTCTCGTAAGTAGTGCGTTAAATATAGCTTTAGGTTACAAAAAATGTTAAAATATAAACGATGCTATGTAGGATACTTTTTTTAAAGAAAGGACTTGCAGCGAGATAGCAGCCACAGGACACCTAAATCTTTCAGAGAAAAAGAATTTATTGCCCTCTTATCAGAAGAAACAAACATCTTCCCACCTCGAAGGCGCTGTTAAGATTCAGAGGACGAAGCTAACAATGACCAGACAGAATCCTGGTTTTGAATGGAATTTACGTATCATCTATGAAGTGTATGAATATGCAACAGGCTATTGTTTTTAAAGGTTAATCCTTTGTTAACGGGTGTCCTTTTTCAGACAGAAAAAGGATACCGGAAACACACTGCCCAGAAAAAGGCACACAGACATCTGTAACTCTTTGGTTCTATTGTCTCATATTGTCCTAATTCAAGTTGTCCAAATTATTATTACTCTAATTGTGTTACTATTTTTATAACCATTTTATTACTATTAAACTTTTAAATTTTTTTTTAAAACCCATGTGATTGGCGCTTTTCACAGCAGTTCTCAGCCGCAGTCCCAACGTAGCAGGACACATTTTTACAGCAGCCGGGGCCTGCCGGCTCCCGCACGGCATTACACAAAGGAGCAGCTGCGCTGCTGCTCTTCCCCCTTTGCCTCTCATATTCCAACTGTTTTAGCAAGTCCATAATTATATGGACTTGCTAAAAGTTATAAAGCTGACCAAGACTTTATATACCCATGTTATAAATCTGACGAAGGCTTTATAACACCCATGGCTTTGTCCTCAGCATTAGAGGCTGCTGCAAATATATATTGTTCAGCTCCCTCCCAAAAGGGCAAATCTAAAAGAGCTGCTTCTGATCCAGCTGATGGCTTTCACACCATGTGAACAAAACTTGTAGGGCTCATTTATCGTAATCAATCCCTCTCCTTTTAAAGAAGAAAATAACTACCTTCTTTATGGAGTTTTCTGTTGCTGACATCCAAGCTCCCATGGTCTCCTAGGTGATTCCACTCCACAAAAACAGGGCTAGAAACCTCACAGCACTTTCCAATGTCTATTTAGCAAAGTTCTGTTTCTTCACCATGTCGCAGACATCTTTTTGTGAAAATCCTTTTCTTTAGGATTTTCCCTTCTGAGAAGCTGAGGCCTCAGAGAAAAAATATAAACAATAGTTATCTGCTGCTGTGGAATGCATCAGGTAGATTTTTGATTGGGCCATCTTGAATGTTTACAATTAATGGCCAACCACAGACCAGATAGCTTGGATTCTCTGTCCGAGCCACAGATCTTTGTTATTCTTTCTTTTCTATTCTTAGCTTAGCCTTCTGAGGAAACCTTTCCTTCTATTCTTTTTAGTATAGTTATAATGTAATATATATATCATAAAATAATAAATCAAGCCTTCTGAACATGGAGTCAACATTCTCACCTCTTCCTTTATCCAAGAACCATTGTGACCACGGTCACATCACCATGCTGGCTGTCCCGTCGATTCCCACTTTTACGCTGTATTTATTCCGGTTCCCACACTGATTCCCAGCTCTTACACTGCTTGTAACCCAGTTCTCACACTGATTCCCAGCTCTTACACTGCTTGCAACCCAGTTCTCACACCGATTCCCAGCTCTTACACTGCTTGCAACCCAGTTCTACACCGATTCCCAGCTTTACACTGTAACATTCCCGGTTCTAAACACCATAGCAGCTTTTCGCCATCTGTCTCCTTTGCTCTGTGCCAGGTTATGGCAGAGTCCTGATCACTGGCGGTCACCATGTGTTAGGGCACGTGTGGGGAGAGTGGTGCGCAGGTGGGGCAGTTTCATGTGGCAACAGAGGCAGTTTATTTCCCAAGCCCCCCTTATACAGTGCATTTGAAAGACCCGGTCTGGATGCTCTCAGTGGTTTGAACTCCATGCCCCTTCAGGTTCTGGCCACTGAGATGGCTGCAGACTTGGGAGATATTTAATTGGACAAGACCCTTTTCAATCACGGTCACACATGTGCAGGGGCACGCACACAGACAGAAACAGTGCAAGCAAGGTACCTGTAAAAAATTCCCCTCAAAGGTCACTGAAATCCTCACTTCGGATGCTCTTCCATCTCCCATCGGGTGAAGGACGGGTGCTGTGGTGACAGATTTCTTCGGCCCAACTGGCTCCCAGCACTGTGGGTGAGAGCGGGCTGTCCCCTGGTAGCAGTTAAACCAGGGTGCAGCCATAGGGCACAGCTGCTGTACGGCACGGGTGGACTGCGTTGGGGATAGGACTGCACTGAGGGCAGGGACAAGGAACAGGGAAAGGTCTTCTGTATGTTTTGCAAAGGGGTTCATTCCCTGGAGGGCCAGGGACAGAAAGACACCCATGGCCTGGGTGATGCTGGCCTGATGTCAGGCACTCACCAAAGCCACTCTGTCCCTGCCCCCCGGCAGGTGCACAGGGGAGAGAAAATTTAACCAAGAGTTCCTGGGTCAGGATAAGATGAGAAGAGATCCCTCACTAAACACCAAAATGGGCATCACAGACACAGCCTGGGCACAGGGAGGGAATTTATTATCAACCAAATCAAATCAGGACAAGGAGAGAGGAAATAAATCTCTCAAACACCTCCCCCCCACCCAACAAGAGTCACCCAGAATGGGCATAACCAGAGCTCTGCCTAACGGGGGTCACTGGAGATCATCCAGTGTGGATCTTCCCATGGGGGATTGCTGTATTGCACTAAAGATGGAGCTGGAGCAGCGCACAAAGCTCTTCCAGCACTTGGGGCACTCGCACGGCTTCACTTACCAGTGCCTCCGTTGGTGTTGGGTCAAGTGAGAGCTCCTGGAGAAGCTCTTCCCACACTCAGGACACTCATAGGGCCTCTCCCAGGTGTGGATGCACAGGTGGAGTTGCAGTTTACACCATTCCTGCAAGTGGGGCTGTGGAAGGGCCTCTCCTCTGTGTGAATCTGCTCATGTAAAGGAGATGCAAGTTAGTCCAAAACCTCTTCCCACACTCAGGACACTCATAAGGCCTCTCCCTGCTGTGGATCTTTTGATGATTGATGAGGTTGAAGCTCTGCCCAAAGCCCTTCTCACATTCCCCACACTCTTAGGGCCGTTCCCTCTGTGTGGATCACCTGGTGGTGGATCAGGTCCCAGCTCCAAAGCTCCCTCTGAAGCCCTTCCCACATTGCAAGCACTGATGGAGGTTCTCCCCATCCTGAGGCTTCTCCACCAGCTGCGAGCTCTGTCTGGATCTCCCTCTGGCCGCCTTCCCGGCACATGGAGAGTCTTTCCTCCTCACAGCTCCTGGGGTTTGGTTTGCAGCCTCTCCTTGTGTGGGATCTCCAGGGCTTTTCCTCGCCCTTTGTGGGAAGGGACCACAGGGAGAATGGGGCAGAGATGCCTTGGGAGGACAGTTCTGTCTAATTGTCAATCAGCTGTGGTCCACTCCCCCATTTCTAGAAGGTTCTCTGTTCCTCATTTCCCCATTGGATTGTGTTGCAAGACCATCCTTTCCCCCAACCCCATTGATGTACCCCTTGTCACCCCACCTCGACTCCTCCTCTGATCCCTCTTCCTATTGGTTGTCTGTATCCTGGCCCCACCCACCTTCTTCCTGTTATAAATCCTGGCCCCACCCTTGTTCTGGGCTCTGCCACTAGCTCCCCTTTGGCTGTGGTCGTGTCCCTGCTCCTCTCCTCGCCTGGACCCTTCGATTCTCCTATAATAAACCAGCTGGACCCTCAGCAGTGTCTAGAGCCCTCCTTCTTCAACTGGTCGAGCACAAGATTATCCATCAGGGCCTGAGTGCAAGGTGGGCTGGGGAGCTGCTCCCTCAAACCTTGAGGAGTCTGCTCTGACCACACCTGCCCAGGAGCTCCCTCCCAGGGAGAAGATATCCCACACCCGTTAGATTCCCATGCTCTGCCCTGGAGCCACTCAAAACGGCCTCTTCCATGAGGTTCTGCCATGGGGATTTGTCCTCCCTGGTCTCTGTCTGCAGCTCAGTGCCTGGGATAAGGAAAGAAAAGGAGAGGAAGGAATGAAGAAGGAAGGACAGAATGAGGAGAGGAAGGAGGGTGGACAAGGAGAGGCTGGGATTTGCCTCCATGCCAGAGGGAAGGGGAAGGAGACCCACCCAATGCATCCCCGGCAGGACAGCTTCATCAGCAGGGTTGTCCTGCAGCCAGGGGTGATGCTAGGCTGGGAGATGGAACAGAGGAGAGGGGGAAAGGAGCAGTGACTTCCTCCTCACCTGCCTCAGTGCCCCATGCCATCTTTCTTTTCCTTGCAGCCTCCTCCTCCTTTTCCATCTGGACAAAGTTTGGGATTGACAAATCCTGGCTTGGGGGAAAAACAACGGGTGAGCACCTTGGTCCTTCTGATCAAGTCCAGCTCCAGAAGTCACCGCCCCATTCACTGTTGGTGGGCCCAGACCCTGCTCATCTCCAGCCTCCCCCACCCCTCCAGGCTGCTGGGATCCCCCAGCTCCGGGATTGCTCCTCCCTGCTCTCCCACTCCCAATGAGCCCCAAAACTGATGTCACCCCCCTGCCCCTTCTGGTACCAGGCAATCACCATGTGGGTCCTCCAAGACCCCTCCAAGGCGCATTTGCGGCTCAGCTGATGGGTTCTGTGAGATCCACACATCCCCTCCCTTGCAAAAAGCCCTCCTGGACACTCCCTGAGGGATGTGGGATGAGATCCCCCTCCCTGCTCACCTGCAGGATGTGGAGGGTGGATCGATGCTGCTGGGACCAGGGGGAGCTGCGGACTCAGTCGGTGAGTGAGGGAACTGTGTGGTTCTCCTGCTGCTCTTCCTCTTCCTGGTACTGTTCCTGTTCTTCCTTTCCCTCCTCCTTTCCTCCCCCTCATCCTCTGTCCCTCCTCTTCCTCTTGCTCCCCCTCCCTGCCCACCCCAGACACCCCTTTCCCCATCACATCTCTTCCACAGCCACAGCACCACCAGCTTTTGGGTGGAGGGAACCCCCATGAACCCCCCAGGGATGGGCAGGGGGTTTGGGGACCCACCCAGTGGGGATCCATCCCGCCCCAGAGTTCCAGGGATCAAGTGGGGAACACAAAGGGATCCCCATGGAACTGCCCTTTTTCTGTTCCATCCCCACCTTTTCCTCCCTCTCCAATCATTCCCCCAAACTAAAGATCCCTCCAAACTCAATTTTGGGGTCCCATGCCTCTCCCACTCTCTTTGAATCCGCTTTTCCCCTGTTCTTCTGCCCCTTTGCCATTGTCCATCCAGCCCCATCCCTCACCCTCGTGCTTGGTTTTGGAGGATCCAGTCCCCTCTTGGCTCCGTCTGGGGGGTCACATTCCCCTTTTCCCTGAAATCTGGCAGCTCTTGGGTGCTTTTTCCTGAGAGGAATCCCTGAGTTTTGGGATTTTTGGGGTGCAGTTTTGGAGGGGGACAGCTCTCTCTGGCTTTCCCCTTCCTGCTGTGGCCCCTCAGCTGCCTCCAACACCCTGGGGGGGCTGGGATTTCCCTCCTGGGGACAAGGACGTTCATCCCCTTCCAGGAGCCCAATGCCTGGCTGGGGCTCCAGGTCAGGGGGTCCTTGAGCAGCTGCCCCAGAACCTCCCCCAGGGTCTCCCAGCACAGCTGGAGCTGCTCAGCCTGGGCTCCCCAAAGGCCTCAGCAAGCCCCAAGTCCCTCCCAGGAACCCTCAAACCCCTCAAACCCAGCATCCTCCACATCCCCTGCAAGTTTCCCCCATGGCACCAGCCATGGCCACGTCTCCACATGTCACCGGCCATGTCCCACTATGTCCTCACCCATGGCTGTCTCCTCACCATGTTTCCATCCCTGTCATTGTCCCCAACATCCGCCTCTGTGCCCCTGTGCCCCCACGTCCCCATACTCCTCCATGTCCATGTGTCCCCTTGTCACTCTCCATGTCTGTGTCCCACCATATCTGTGTCCACCATGACCACACCCATGTCTTAGTTCGATGTCTTTATTTTTACGCTTGTGTTGGATATTTTAAAGGGATGAAGAGAAATTAAAAGAAAATCAAGCTTAAAAGAAAAAGATTTCCATGTCCGTGCCTGTGAGAGTCTGTCCAAAATATCCTTCATTTTTGCCTCACAATTGTCATGAAGAAAAGACCACCGAAAAGTTAAAACTGTTGAGCCAGTGGGGAGGGGAAGTCATGTGATCATCAGCTTGTTTCCACAGGTGTTATTTGCATAACACACCACGCTGAACATGAAGAGGGCATTCTGCCCCTCCTGAACAATGGACTCTCCCTATCTCCTGGCCTGCCTGGCTTCAGCTCTGGGTGGTCTCCCACAGAAGACCCCTCTCATCTGTCCTCAGCCATTGTGACAGACAAGCAGAAATGCAAGCCTCTCCATCAAAGAACCAAGACAGGAAATCCCCGTGCAAGAAAACCCCCCTCGCACCTTCTTCCAGAGACTGGGACTGAACCCCCCCCAACTCGGGGGAGGTGTGCACAAAGGGGGGAAAAGCTGCCCAGAGTAAACGCACCTGCGAGCATTGGGCCATGGAAACAATGATTTTGCCTGTTGCTTGGCTAGGACTCTGTGTGCCCCCTTTTCTGTTCTTTCCCCCTCCCTGGAGACCTTTGTTTCGGCTCCCCTTCTCCCCAACGAAAAATCGTATCATTGGAGTCCTGGTTAGCCGTGCTTTTCGAGATCTCCCCGGACGTGACCCAGTGAGCTTTGATGGCTGGACCCCAAAGGACAAAAGCACCATCATGTCTCGGTAGCTATAACCCATCTTCCCTCTTTTCCTCCCTCTTCTCCCTTTTTTCCCCAGCTCCCCTTACCAACGCATTTCAGTTGTGGTTATTTCAATAAACCTGCACTTTGTTGATTTGTTACTGCAAATCCCCTGTGCCTTGTTGGTTATTTTTGCACCTAAAAATCATCGCGTTACCCGTCCGCTGGGATGGATCGCAACAGTGCCGGCTGAGGTTCCACCTGCTTGGGTGGGAGAGAAGAACCTTTTTTGGTGGAGTTTCTACCCTACTGTCTCCAAAATTTTGGTCTTTTCCTCACTTTTTCATCATCTGCCTGTAGAAGACACACTTAGGCAACAGGAAATTAAAATCATGGAATCCCTGAAGTTAGAAAAGACCTGCAAGACCATCCAGAACTCCTTGATGCCACCAGAAGATAGGACTGAATACAAAAGATGTTCTGGGGTTGAAAGCCAAGAAATCTGCTCTCTCCAAGGAATTCCCATTGTTGGTCTACATCCTGATGGATGTTCTGCTCTCTGCATTCATCCAAGTGTCCAGAGGGAGCCAGGAAGATGTGGAGCCCCCCAGCCAGGTGTCATCCCAACACACATCACCAGGGCACTGCCTAACAGAGGTCACTGGGGATCATCCAACGTGAATCCTCCCATGGGGGATGGAGCTGGAGCAGTGCACAAAGCTCTTCCAACACTCAGGGCACTCACAGGGCTTCCCTTAGTGACGCCTCCGTTGGTGTTTGGTCAAGGATGAGCTCAGGGAGAAGCTCTTCCCACACTCCCCACACTCTTAGGGCCTCTCCCTGGAGTGGATGCGCTGGTGGGAGACGAGGGCGAATTTGCGGTTGAAGCCCTTACCGCAGTCAGGGCAGCGGAAGGGCCTCTCGTCTGTGTGAATCCGCTCATGTCTGAGGAGAGTGGAGCTGATCTGAAACCTCTTCCCACACTCAGGACACTCGTAGGGCTTCTCCCCGGTGTGGCTGCGCTGGTGTTTTCTCAGGTCCGAGCTCCACCCATAGCTCTTCCCACATTCCAAGCAGGTGTAGGGCCGTTCCCCAGTGTGGATCCTCTGGTGCTGGATCAGGTGGGATCTCTGGTTGAAGCTCTTCCCACATTCCCCACATTCATAGGGCTTTTCGCCAGTGTGGATCATCTGGTGCCGGATCAGGTCAGAGCTGTCTCTGAAGCTCTTCCAACAATCCCCACATTTGTAGGGTCGTACCCCAGTGTGGATCACCTGGTGCTGAATTAGGCCAGAGCTCTGTCTGAAGCTCTTCCCACACTCCCCACACTCAAAGGGCCGTTCCCCAGTGTGGATCCTTTGGTGCTGGATCAGGTTGGAGCTCTGGCTGAAAACCTTCCCACATTCCAAGCACTTGTGGGGCTTCTTCCTGCCATGAGGCTTCTCCACCAGCTCTGAGCTCGGGCTGCATCTCTGGCCATCTTCCTTGCTCAGGGGGGCTCTTTCCTCCTCGCAGCTCTCTGGGCTGGGTTTGTAGCCACTCCTTGTGCAGGATCTCCAGGGCTTTTCCTCGTCCTCCATCAGGCCAAGCCTTGGGAATAAAAAATCCTGGTTTGGGTTTAAAAAAAAAAAAAAAGAAAAAGAATAAGAGGGTGCCTTGTACTGGGAGTTCCTCCTTGCCCAACTTCATCTCAGGAACTAACTGGACATCTTGTGTCTGTAAGAACCTCCAAAACACCGAGATTCAGCACAAAAATTCTCCCAACACCAAGACACAGATCAAAAACTCCCCAAACATCATGATTTAGCAAAAACCTCCTCCAAAAGATAAAGATTCAGCCCCTGCAAAAAACCAAAGCACCAACATTTAGCCCAAGAAAGCTCAGAAACACCAAGATTCACCCCAGTGAAATTAATGGATCCTCCTCCCCAGATATCTGCTGCATATGAGGGGTCAATGCTCCTGGGATGTGGGGTAGAGCCTGCAGATACAGGGAGAGATGGAACCTTCTGATGCTTCCTGTTTCTGCTCCTCCTCCTGTGTCTCCACTCTTCTTCACACTCCTCTTCCTCCTGCTATTCCCCCTTCTCCTGCACAATCCCACCATCTCGTCCCACGTGCAGCATTTGACCATTTTGTTCCTCAACCCTGCTTCTCCTTCTCTTCTCCTCCTGCCCCAGGCCCAGCTCCCACTGCTGGCTCCCTCTTGCCCCCAAACCCACAGCATCCCACGGCAGGGGCAGGGATGGAGCTGGGGCAGGTCGGGCTGGGGCAGCGCTGGGCTCTCGGCCGCTCCCGCCCGCACTCGGTCCCCACTGCAGCCGCTCCTGCCAGGACAGCGCGGGGGGGCCCGGCCTTGGCGCTGCCCCACTCCCACCTCCCCAAATTCCCCCTCGAGGGGGGTGCTGGGGCCGAGGGGGGGGCACAGGTGGGGAACGCTGGGAGCTGCAGGTCTGCCTGGCAACTGCAGAGTCATCATCAGCATGTGCCATGATTGGCTGAGCACTGCCTGAGGGGTGGAGCTGCAGCAAGGGGGGACACCCTGCTCCCGGGGGGATGTCCCACAAATGGGGGACCCCCATGAAAGGAAGAAGTGTAAAGTGTCCTTACAAACAGATGCTGTGAATCTGCTCAGAGATAGAGCCAGGAACTTGTACATAAGAAAGTGACAGGAGAAGCCACAAGTTTCAGAAAATGTTATTAATTAATGACACAGACTGCTGCCCAGCCAAGGTCCTGCTAAATTCATGAACTTCGAGAAGAAGAACAAAGACTTCACAGAGCCATAAATATCATTTGCTATACGAAATTGGGGAGCATATTAGGAAGGGGAAGCAGGAGGTGGATTGGGATGTTTGTAGCTCTCAAGTACTTCAGCCAATACGGAAAGAGAAAGCGAGATGTAGACAGGAAACTTAGGATGACCAGGAGGCTGTGTCCTCCAATCACTGGAGAGACCCCATAGGAAATGTCCCATGGCTTCTCCCATTTTTTTTTTTAATAAAATTATTTTACTGGAGTCCTCTGTCTTCTTTCTGAACAGAAACCTCTGGTGATGTCAATTTTTCCACACACCTTGGGATGCGTCTGGAATTCCTTCCACCATATGTAGCGGCGGGCAGTGAGTGCAGCTGAAGGTGCCTCACCCAGTTTGGGTGATCGGCTCCCTTGGGGGGCAGCAGCACCAGGGATTGATTGGGTACCCGAGAGTGACCAGGAAACAGACGAGTGACACATCAGGGGAGGCTGTGAAGAGTCAGCAGGGAGAGAGCACTGAAAATCTCATCAGTGAGTGCACTGGGATCTTTGGGGAGTGAACATGGCAGGGCACCCACGCAGGGTAGAAAAGGGAAAGCCGGGAAGGGGTCCTGTGCCAAAGGGATGATGATCCCAAACTATCTCTGAAGGGTCCCTTCCAAGAAAGTTGAGGGAGTTTGCACATTCCCCCGCAGGTAATTAAAGACATGGATACCCAGAGGGGCAATAAGGGAAGTGGAGAAGGGATTTGGACAACACGGGATGGATGGTGTTGGTGTTCTGGGAAGAGACTGGGTGAAGGGGAGTGTGCAGCAATACGGTTAAGGCAAGAAGCAGCAGGAGGACTCTATGTGGTAAGAAAAAAGAAAAGAGGAGGAAGAGAAAAATACCGAGGATTGGGATGTTTTTCAGCAGGGTCTTAACCTCAACATTTGCCAGCTGATCATTTGTATCCCCGGTTTCCAGGAGAGGAAAACAAGGCGGTCAGGGTTTCAGGGGGTTTCTCTGTGGGGGGCAGCGGCAGCACCGGGCGCAGAGCTGCGGCACCGGGAGCACGGGCTGGGGGCCTGTGGGCAGCTGCGGGGCCGGGCCGGGGCTGTGGGGCAGCCGGGGCTCAGCGCCGGGCGCTGCCTGACCCCACCAGCCCCGGACAGGGCCGGCAGCGGCCCCCGGCCCCCAGGAGGCTGCGGGACGCCCCGGCCGCTGCCCGGCCCCGCGGAGCTGCCGGCCCTGCCCGCCGGGGGCGCCTTTGGACACTGCGGCAGGACAGGGAGCGGCTCTGGGATACGGGCTGGGGAGGGCACCCTGAGCACAGGGAGGAGGAGCAAGGAACACCTGGGAAATGTGGATTGTACATTTTAGCATGGAGATTATCTTTTAAGGATTTTATTCGGGTTACTGGAGATACAAATGATTTTGCAGAAAGCTCAGCAGCTGTCAGAGGATGAGCACCCACAGGCACTGAGGGGGGCTGCAGGAGGGGCACAAGAAGGCCCTGCAGCACTTGGGCACAAAGGCACAGCAGGTGAGTGCAGGAAGGGAGCAGCAAAAGGCCAAGCTGAAGGCAAAGGCCAGGGCACAGCTCCTACAGCCCCTGAGGGATCAACCCCAGGGCCCAAGGGGGCCCCAGCACCCAGGGCACGGCTCGGCCACAAGCACCTGGCAGAGGCATTGCCCTCCTCGGCAGGGGAGAGCCCACCCAAACAGCCCCTGGCAAGGAACCAGGGCTCCAGCTGCAGGGCACAAGGACACTGCAAGCACAGACAGCAGCACCCTCAGGACCAGCAAGTCCACCCCTTGATGGACATGGATTGGCAGGGCTGTCACAGTTCCCGTCACACCAGGGACCCTCCACACTGAGAACATTCAGGCAGGGTCTGCATTGAGAGGAGGCCTCCCCTGATGGACACAGGAGCCTCTCAGTGCACTTTGAATCTTGGACCCAAGGGGGGAAAAATGCTAAAAATATGTTTAATTAGTGAGGAGATAAGTGGGAAAGAGCAGTGGTTTTATTCTACCACTGTTTGCTGATGTGGGAGATGGGCTTGAAATGCATGAATTTTTATTTGCTCCTAATTGCTATCATGATTTACTGGGAAGGGTTTTGATTCCTAAACTTGGAATGCAAATTAATTTTATAAAAGGTGATACAGAGGTCAGTTCTGTTGTACCTCTGTGTCATATGTCTGTCTGGGCCTGCACTGCCACAGCTGCTGGGGAACACCACGGCACAATTCCACTCTGGGGCTCACTGACACCCACACTCTGGGCTGGCTGGAATAAGATTACACCATAAGAATGTTGTTTCTAATTAATGCTACTTTGATATTGTCAGTTAGGTTTGGGCCAGGGACGTGAGAATCAATTTTTATTCTTAGCAGAAGAAGTAGAAAAAGTCTTTATTGCTTTGGATTCTTTTTCTTGTGTGTTTGCGTGGCTGTTGGAGATTGCAAAATTTTGGTCTGGGTTTTCTGGTGTTTAGCTTCAGGCTGCACTTTGCAAAACTAGAAGAGCTTTAAAGGTGGCCCTTTAACTCATAAACAGTTAATAGAACACTCTTCAAAAAAAAAACCCTAAAAATTAAAAATACCCCAAACCCTGGCTTTTGGGGGGGGGGGGGGGGGCATATGTGAGTACACCCTGGAAGTGAAGCTTCATTCCAGGCAGCCTGCAGAGGAGCTTTAGAAATGCAAATTAACACTGCTGGGCAAAGTGTGGACAATGTACCTGGGTCTCTTGCCCGGGGCAGGAATTGGGCTGATTCCCTCTGCCCCTCACCCCAAGCTCTGCCTGCTTGCACTGATGGAATTTGCACAGCTCAAGGCAGAGCCCAGGGGGAGGATATCTGACCCTGCAACAGAAACGGGTGAAGCTGCAAAGGGAAACAGCAAAAGGAGAGTGTTGGGAAAACTTCACTATAAATAAATGGGGGGGAATCAGCCTACTGCCCACTGCAACACGTGCTGTCACTGTCTGTGTTATATAGGGTGGATTAGAGCACTGAGATGTTCTAGCTATCACAAGTTCAGGGAAATCAGTTCGGGATCAAAGTATTTGATGATTTAATTAGAGAAAAGTGGTCAGTTGATGCAGTCTTGGCTCAAGGGAGCGCCCAAAAATGGGGAAAAGCTGAAAGACCACCAGAACAAATCCCACAACACCATGGACCAGCCCCTGGGAACCCAAACCAATTCATATCAGGAGCCACAGAACCCATTTCTCATTTTAATGGCATCATTAGATTACAAGCTGTCCTTGGAATAACCAACCAGACAGCTCCAGCTCCTGACTTTCCTGCTGACCAATCCACTGAAATGAGGAACACAACACTTCATCATGGGATGGCATCAGATCATCTGTTAGCAGAAAAAGGAGGAGTTTGTGGAAAATTCAATAACTCAAACTGCTGTTGGCAAATAGATGACAAAGGAAAAGTGGTGAAACAGATAACAAAGGAAACAAGAAAGCAGCTCATGCACCAATCCAAACGCAGATAGGATGGGAATGTGTCATAGTTTGAGAGGAAGTAAGTTTTCTGAGATATGCTGTAGTCACCAATAAGTGTTCAGATTTTAATATTAGCACCTTGTGTAGCCACTAGAGACATTAGACACGCCTCTGAGAACGCAGGGGTTAAGAGCAAAGAACTCTCGGGGGAAGATCTCTTGAATCCCAGCGAGGGAAGTGAAGAGGCCCCAGCACAGAAGGGTGGGAGAAGCACCAGGAGGCATCGGGCAGCACCCCCACCCAGAGACAGAGCGAGCCTGTGCTGCCTTGAAATTTGATATCAAGTGCTGGCAGCACAGCCCAGCCTGCGGAGAAGGAGGGAGGGGGTGCAGCGAGAAGGGGTCCGGCCGCT